AAGGTTAAATTTAACCCAAAGTACTTATAATGTACCGATGGTACTTGGGGGGAGTACTGTGGAGTTCCGACAGATACTTCAACTTCTATTCATGAGATGGCGCCACGTGTAAAATCCAGTTCTTAATTGGAGCAGCAAAGTGACGTCATTACTCACTCAGACTTCTCGTGAGACAACTGTACGCGACGGTAGCATGAACTGTGTTCCGAGCTCTGCGTTGATCTCTGCAATGTAATTTAAATTGTAATGTAGTACTTAATATATTCTTTTGTTATAGGAGATTGTCTACTCTTATTTTCTTTAATTATATCATGCATTAAGCACACGACCACCAAACTTACTCTCCATATTAAACTTCTTAAAAACGTAATAAATTTTTAATAGAATTTTTTTGTAAATGTTAATATGTGCTTATTTTAATTGCTCAATTATATATTTTATATTAAATCTGTATTTTGACATCAGAACGGAACCTATCAATTAACATATACCTGTTCATAGACAAGTTTAAAATTCGTATTTCATAGAAACATTTTCATGAATCTAACTTAGAATTATATATGTTTACTTATTAAAAAACTAATTCAAAAACATGAAATTCTTATTAAAGCATAAAAAAATTCTATTTAAATATCTTTTTTTTTTTTAATTATATAAATATCTGGAAGTGGATCTTAAAAAACCTACTTCCAACTTTTGAATATTTTTTAATTCCTACTGCATATGTGTACATGACAGGTGTCCAAGCCTGGATATTTCTACCCAGATTTGAGGTTTTTGATTGTCATCTGGGTAGAAAGGTTTTCCCCCACAAAAATATCTCATCATCTAGACATTTTTCAGTAATTGTGAAGTTGAAATTTGTTTTTATTTCTTGTAGATACAATAAATTTTAATATATTTAATAACAATTTAAAATTTTCTTAAATGTATACTGGTCATAATTTGTAATATTCCAAGTGCTATTACAGAATAGGGCAAATGTAAAAGAATTTCCAAGTTTTCACAAAGAAAATTACAGGCTTTTACCCTGTAATTTTCTTTCATGTTACTGAGTTATTATATGTGCAACCTATTGAGCAGGCAGAAGGTGGTCATTATTGCACAGTCTTTCATGAGATTATTGCATTATTTAATGTGATTACAGTGATGTAATAAATTTAAATTAATAATGACTATTTATGTTTTATATTAATGGATTAGAGCTTTATTCTCTATTTTACAGAACATTTCCAAATAAGATAACTACTAACTAGGCATATCCACAATGTCTGAAAATTATTCCTCACAGAAAAAGATGAGTAAACATTGGTATACTCAAAATTTTAGAAAGGAATGGTTAGAAGATCTGGAGTGAAAGGATTAATTGAAGAGACAGTACTGGAAAATGTGAATTTTACCATATTTTTTGTGAAATGAAATTAAAGAATGGCAATAAGTCAATGCGATTGGCATACAAAAATTCAGTGAAACACATTAAAGTGCAAATATAAGAGGAATTCAATGTTAGACATTTTCTTCGAAAAGTAAACGTATGGAAAAAGAAGAAATAGCAAAGATAGGGTTAAGAATTGTTGCACTTATTTCTGAGCATAATATTCCATTTGTGAAATGATATCATCTTAACTTGTAAAAAAAAGTATGTCATGAGAGCAATATTGCAAGACAAATTCAGATGAAGGCGGATAAAGTGTCAAGATGACAAGCTATCATGAAAAAATATGCATATTTAACATATGTAGGAATACAAGTTTTCAATGATAATAGACATTACAAGTTGTAGCTATTATTATTAGATATTTTGATATTCAAAAACTCAATGCTGTAGATGTGTTACTTGACACTCTTTGTGTCAAAAATGTACTTCGTAATGGCATTAACAAGCTGTAATAGATCTTTTCATAAGGTCATAATTCCAATTATTAATCTTGTTGGCTTGGAAGCCACTATAATGAGTACTAAGAATGAATTGCTAAAAAAACAGCATTAGGGGGATGCATTTATTATTCTTTTGCATTACATGCTAGTCATTCAGTTAAGGTGCTACCATCTTATCTAGGAGCATTTATAAAAGATATATCTTATTATTTTCCCCTTATTCTCAATTTTACATTCAGCAATGCTGTTCCCATATTTTGTTTCTGAAGATAAATTAGATATCCTAAATAAAGAATGGGAATAATTTCATTTACCATATATTCCGGGATATGAAGCACTCCCATGATTTCAAACTACAATTTTTAATTTTTAGGTATCTTCTCCGTATAATGCACACTCTTTTCTTTATGAAGAAATCGGAAAGAACGTATGTGATGCTTTTATCATTAAATCATTTATTCCAAGAAAGATTTACCCAGGTTTTGGAACAATGAACACTGAACTGATAAGCGATAAGAGGAACAATATTGTGTGTGGGAAATGCCTGAGGGAGGAAATAATTCTGCTAATAGGATTGTATTCATTGCAAGTGGGCACAAGAATGTTATTCCAGGGTTTCGAGAAAAGGTGGATGTAATTTGGGATAAAAATGCACTTCCAACCAGAATGAATTCACTGAATTAGGAATAGGGTCTTTTTTCTTTCTGTAGTCATTTGAAGCCATGATTTTCAAGTGAACATCTTAGTACTTCATATGAAATACTTTCGATATAGTGTTCCTTTTGTAGTAAATAAAGCTTCTGCCAGATGAAATAAATACAGTGCTGGTTTCAAATGCAAAGTCATTCAGTTTGCGATGGAAATCATGTTGCTGAAAGGGTGTTTGGTGTTGCTGAAAGCTCTATATGCAAGTGGGAAAAAAATGAAATCAAAATAATTAATAGGCCAAAGAATAAATGTGCTTTGCATAAAGGAGTAATGAAATGGCCTATCGTAGGAGAAAATGTTGCTAACTGGATCCTAGAAAATCGCCAGAATGGATTAATTATAACAAGGAATAGCATTTGTTTATTTGCCTTAAAGTGGGCAAAAAGAATATAAGGTGCAAACTTTAAAACCAACTTTGAGTTGGTATAGTCATTTTATGAAGAAATAATTTAGTTGTATGGGGGGGAGGAAGTTTCGCAAAAGCTTTAGAGAAATTTGGACACCAAAGTGTAAAGTTTCCAGAACTATGCTACTGACTTACAAAGGGGAAAAAAAGTTATTTACAATCATATACTGGAAATATGGATGAAACTCAAATAATGCTTGATTTGCTAGGAAATAAAAGAATTGATGTGAAAGGAGCAAAAACGGTTCAAAAAACAAAATAGATCACAAAAATTGCACCTCATCATAGTGTTTTCCTGCATATCATACGGTACAAATTAAAATCCATGGTTATTTTTAAAAGAAAAGTGATGCCGAAATATAATTTCTTGAATGGTATTTTGATTCATATTCATGAGAAAGGATGGATAGATGAAAACAGTGTGAAACTGTGAATAAGAAATCTTTGGTGAAAGTGTCCTGTTCCCTTAAAGAATCCGCAAAGTCTTTTTAGTTTGAGACAAGTTCAGATACCATCTAATGGATAATATGAAGACATTCCTGAAAGAGTGTAAATACATGCATAGTTATTCCAAGCAAATTAGCTCCATTAAATCAGCCTTAAAATATATGTATCAATAAACCATTCAAAGAAAATTAAAAACGATAGTGGAATACATGTTAGAAGGGGAAAAAACATTTACAAAAGGAAGCCAAAGTTATCATGCCAGTCTAGAAATAGCATGTGAATGGATAATAAAAACATGAAATATAATTAATACTGACATATTTTAAAAGTCATTTAAAAATGTAGTATATTTAACAATCTAGATGGAACAGAAGATATTTATTTATGGATTAGAGTAACAGTGATGGTGAAGATGAAATGAAATTCGATGACATGCCTGAAGATATAATGGAACATGAATATGACAAAGTTTTCATGTTATCTAATGATGAAAATTTTAAAATTCATAAATTAAAAAAATTAAAAAAATTCAATTCTTTTAAATAAAATGCATTTAGTTTCAAGTAGAAATATAATTTTTGTATGCTCATCTTTTCCTTATTTTTAAATCTGTTATATTTATATCAGGTGTATAAAGCATACCATAAATTACCATTCTGATTTTTTGTATTAAAAGTGCACTTTATACTCCGGAATATAAGGTAAATCAAGATTTATAACTGTCTCACAAAACCATCCCTGAGTTGTTATTTATTATATAATGTAAAAATGGCCCTTTATAATTTTAAATATGAGATTTTCGTTAACTTCATGTCCCGTCCAGTTATATTACTTCACTTTTCGGCTAGTGTAGAAAGTAAAACATTTAAAAACAAAAGCCATAAAACCAGTTACACCAGGAACTATGAAAGATTGACTAATGACAGAATCGTTAATAAACAGAGCTAATCAAAATTGTTGTATACAGAGACCTAAATTAAAACTGGTAAAAGAAGCCATACAAGGAACTTGTCTTAAAAAGTTTGAATTTTGAATTTATGTAGAGAGAACTGACTGGAATAAAAATTCTGATTGCAATTGAATAAAAGATATTTATGCATGTTAAGTTTTATCTTACTTGCGTTTCTATACTATATTTTTTCCTGGGTTTATTCAAATTGCAATCAGTTTTTTTTTTTTTTTTTTTTTTTTTTATTTTTTTTATTTTATTTTATTTTAAAACTTTTTGAGTGAGAGTCCTGGTGCATGAAGTTTAGGTTTTCCCTGGTCCAAGCATTTGGTGGTGTTATGTAATTTTTTAAAGTTCCATAGAAATCTTTCTGTTACCAAACGCTGAATACTTTTCCTCTTTTATAGATAGAATTACATTGAGTATAATGTTATGTTTTTAAATGAAGTTATAATACTAAGAATTGAGAATCTTTTAAAATATTTGACTGAACCTATTTAAAATATATTGACTGGACGTTTCAGTACTTTGATACCTAAAAATAGTACAAATGTAATTATTTTTTTCTCTCATTTCAATATTATTACAGCTTTTATTATATTTTACCCTCAGAATGTATTGTGTCACCTGAAAGAACTCCTCCACCTCCTTCACCTGAAGAACCAGCCTGGCCTTTCATTGAGGAGACTCTTAACTTAGTCAAACAGACTTTTCAAGAAAGTCCTATTTCAGAATTGACAAATTTTGCTGCTGTCTTGGAAAAAACTGAAAGGACCAGAAAATGTGTTGCCAGAATGTTTTCTCATCTCCTTCGTGAGTAATATTTTTAACTATTGCTATGCAATAAATTTAAATAATGACTTTTTTGTCACTTGTTTTAGTTAAATTGATAGATTTTTTTTTAAAGCAAATTTTCAAGCAAAAAAATAAAACTGATTTTTTTTCTCACTTTAGCACTTAAGGAACTCCGTTAAATTTTTAAAAATCTGATCCCCTCTATTTACTTGATATTAAGGAATTCTATAAAATTTTTGAAAATTTAGCTTTTTTCCAATTTAGTTGGTATCAAGGAACTCCCCTTAAGAATGATGATTAATTACGTAGATATTAAATTAAATACTGAAGATTAAATTTATATGCTTAAAAGTAAACTAATATACTTACTTCTGTCAAAATTTTTAGGAAGGGCATACCTATCTGTTCAGTTGCAATTTAATATCCTGTTTCATCTTTTTTTAATTCTTTATTTGCTATATGTTTTCCTTCATTATGTATGTTCATTTTGTCTGTAGCACCAAAGTTAATTTATTTCTTAGACTGACCATTCAAATACCAAGTTATTCAAAATTATGAATCAATTCCAGTTCTTTAACATCTTTACAGACTGGGCCACTGACCATTTAAAAGAGTAGGTGTCTCTAAGTTATGAATCATAGCACGACATTTTGCTGGGCTGTAGAAGCATCATTCCCCCTCAATGCTCAGTTACTTGTAAATGTTCAGAAAGATGATGCTTCAACAAAAGCCATTCTACATTCTCAGGTTAGCAAAAACAAGTTTGACTATCTCACTACAATATACTTTTGATGGTGATTCAACAGCATCTTGTTCTGTCCAAAAAACATTTGATAATAGTTGCAGCAGTTTCAAGGAGTAGAATGTCTGTGTAAAAAAACAGCCCTGAATGGCATTGATTTTTGTAACAAAAAAATGGAAGAAGTCTGGACGGTGTTTCAGTGGAGTACATGAAAGTTCCCAACCCAACCATGAGCTTATAACTCGTCAACCTACTATCTGATGTAAGCTGGCCGATCAATAAGTTGCTGAATCAATAAGTCACCATCAGCGGCCGATCAATAAGTCGCTGAACACTGGTAGTTCAGTCTGAGGTTCAAATCCCACGAACAGGCTAGCTGCCTGGGTGTTTTCGTGGTTTTCTCCATGTGTATCGAGCCAGTTTCCCTTAGATAAAAGATGATCTTTGAAACCATACTGAGTGCAGTTTGCTCAGGCAATTATCCTATAATGACAAAGGTAAGTGCATAATGATGTCCATGCTCTAGGTTAAGGTCCTAGTGAACATTTTTAAGAGAAAAAAATAAAATTTTGTTATCAACAGAGCCTTTTTTACCTGGTTAGAAATTTGATATTCTTCTCAATTATAAAATATAGCTCTATGAAAATGGTCCATTCTTTTTGAATATTTTGCATGCTGCAGAATGATTAATAGTTCTTTGTTATAATATAGCCTCGTTATAATTTCTGTTAAGAGGGTATGCTGATAATTTAAATTTCATCCTCATGTATTTTTTTAGTGTGATCTGTTTCATCCGTTCTTTTTGAAATTCATTTCTTTTGCTTAAAAAAAAAAAAAAAAAAAAAAAAAAAAAAAAAAAAAACCTGTTTTTCTATTTTATGTTTTAAAAAATAATGTATAGTAGGGGCAGACTGTGAAAACGTTTTGCAAAATGTATATTTTTAAAGTTTGATTACATATAACATCATTATATTTAAAGAATATCATGTGAAGTTATATATCATTGGAAAAATGGTTTTATATAAGCTACATTATCATTTGCTACAGTTAATTAATTATTGTTATGTGTAAAGTTATAGCTAAGTAAGTAAAATTAACCTCAACCTTCTTATGTAAAGAGAGGATATTTGGAAGACATTTGGATATTTGTGATCCAGACATAATCTTCCAGACATAAAAATAAATGGATAAAATAAAATGGATGCAAATGGATAAATAAACAATAATAAGGGAGTGCAAGAGTTTACTGAGTATGTCAAGCAAAAAGCCAACAGATTACTGATCACATAGATAATAAATGATTGTGTTTCTTCAGCATAGAGGTGTTTTATATAGTGCCAAACTGAAATTAAGAATCCTTTCACATACTTAAGTATAAAAAATATGTAGTGTGCATGCATGAAGCATATATAGTAAAGCAAGACTCTGCTTTCAGAATCTAATACTTTCTAACCTTTAGTAAAACATTTTCTAAAGGGAAAAAAATCTGGGTAGTTCGGAGGTCTGGATACTGGTAGCCCAGGCTTCAGACTTTGTATGATGTTTGCAAAATATTACTGGGAATTCTGAAAAACTAAGGAATTTACATTCTCACATTCAGTATAGAAAATGGTAAATTATTTTATAAAGTGTTCTTTGGAATGATATACTTTTTTCAGTATGATACTGAATTAAGATGAAGTATTCATGTTGTAAGTTATTAAACTTCAAAATGTATATTTTTCAAAATAGCTCGTTTAATCATACAACATTTTATATCCACATTAGTGAATTTATTAATTTTATTGAGCATTGTATAAAAATAGCCTGACTAAAATTTCAAGTGCTAAAATTGAAAAACACTGGTAGTTTATTTTGGTTTACATTTTAACTGCATTGAGTTTTGTTTAAAACATGTAGCTACCAACTCTCACAGTAGACAGTTAAATCATCTGTTTCTTATTTTTAACGTCTTGTTTACACATTACTGATGTAGCATTGTCCTTTTGCCCGTTAAAATATGGAATGAACTTGAATATACAATATGGCTATGTGAGGAGAATGCAAAAACAGGTTTTTGTCAAAAATACTGAATTTGCATAAATGCTCAAGTTGAATTGAATGAAGTGGTTATAAACCTAACTGATATGAAGGGGAGATATTTTGTTTTAAATTTGCAGTTAGTTATTAATTAGTTAATTGCATTATTTGGCATCAGTTTTATTTTTATAATTCTTAAAAAGTATTTTAATAAATAAAATCCTTTCTTGTCATTACTTTGTCAGTATAAAAAGTTGAAGACAATTCCCCCCCCCAAAAAAAAAGAAATAAAAAGTATGGAATATTTAATTGAATATAATGTATTTTACACAAGAGTCATGTTATAAATAAAGAATTTTATAACCTGAATCATGCTTTATAAAATTAATTTAAGTCAATTTGGCATTCTCTTGAAATCTCATTGCATCTCCTGGTGTTTCAGATTTCAAGGTTCGCATATATATATATAAACTGTAACAAATATATACTTTGTTATATATGACAATGTATATAATAAATGATATATACTTTATGATATACATTGTGGTAACCGAATTTATTATGTCTAAATGTTCTGTGCTGCATTTCATATACTGACGAATATGAAGTACAGTGGAACCACAGGCTGTTATTTCTCAGTGGGATGAAAGTGGGAAACTATTACATATTTTAAATTAATAACATTTATTACTTTCAATATAAACACAGTTTATTAAAAAATATTTTAAAAACTCATACATTATCCTTTGCTTCATGGCTGAATTTTGCTTCAACTGCAATGTGACTTTTTTGAGACTTAATATGTTTTTACAGTCATCGTTATTTTTCAGTTTGGATACAGAAGGACACTTTTTAAAAAATCTCAGTGAAATTTGGCATAATCATTTATTCAATTTTATTCCCATCTTGTTTCTCTACATTTCTTGTAAACCAAAACTGAAAACTAATAGGAATTAAGAAATGAAAGTTGCTTTTATTAATTTATTGCAACAAAATGATATTTGTGAATTAAACTTATATCCCAGATAAAGAGTTGAGAGCCACCTGCATTTCAAAACTTACAATTCGAAGAAAAGATAACACAAATAATAAACATATACCTCTCTCTTACAATTTTTTTCTGCCAAATGATCTGTGTAGGAAATACTGTTATGAAATGTAATTTTCAGTTGATAAATAGAGTAAAATAATAATAGGGGAAATTCATTTGGAATTTTTTAAAATTCATATTAACAGTTGGCCATTTTTTATAAGGGCTTCTCAAGGCTTATTAAAGAAAAAGTATTTTCATGCATATGTGTATTGTAATTTTTATTTGATTTAACTGTTGGGATTCATATGCATTTTAAATGTCAAGTTTTGTAAAGTTCTTGTTATAACTTTTGTTAAATATGTTCTGAAATTTGAGAAAGATTTAAGAAAAATACTTTTTTATAGAATATCTTCAGCAAGTACAGTCAAAAGTCGTTAATCCAGACTCGTCGGGGCTTCGGCGATTCCGGATTATCGATTTTTCCCGATTATAGATCATCAGTTTAAATCTGGTAAGATGGCATGCAGAAATTATAAAATTAAAAATATGAAACCATAATTTATGAAATAAAGAACAATTATCATCTAAAAGGTATCAAAATTTACAAAAAAAAAAAAAAAAAAAAAAAAAAGCTTAATATTTATTTGTTATTTTATTAAACATTTCTTTCAATGTAAGTTGTTTAAGTTGCTTCGTTTTATGTGATAATACTTTCTCTTTAATTCTATAAATAGACATAATTTCTTGTTCAGTTACAAAGTTCCGCTGTTCAAGTCCTATAATTGCTGTGTCGAGAATACCGAATAATTTGTCAATCGAAATTTTTTGTTTTCAATAACCTCTGTGTCACTTTCTTCGATATTGGAAGCGAGATGAAATACTACATTTAGTAAGGAATTATAAGCCAATTAAAATAAAAACATCTGCCCTGAAGATAAGGATAGTGCTGACAGATCAACTTCCAATTCATTGCGCGCTGCGGCGTTCCCCCCCCCCCTGCCGCAGAGCAGCGTGAAATTGATAAACAGATTTCGGAATGGTTAGAGAAACGAAGGACATGCCTTTATCCATTTTGAAGCAATTCCACTTTTTGTTTAATGGACTTCGAAACATACTTTCACTTTGTAGATCCTTTACATATTAGTAAATATATATCGGAAATTCTATTTGACATAATCGAAAGTTTAAGCTTACTTTTATAAAATTGCTCTAACAGTCTGCAAAAAATAATAAGCCGGATCAAATTTGAAGATTAAGGAACGACGCAATCTGCAACATTAACTGAATTAGATAATTTTAGCTTAGCTTTTACCGTCCGTTATACATTAAACGTGCATGCGTAAACGTATTATGCACATGCGCACATGCATATTCGCAGCCGTAAAGGTCTTATGCACATGCGTCAATGCAACGCATGCGCAGAAAGTTTGTAGCTTTGAGGTCCGGATTATGGGTGTCCGAATTAACAACTTTTGACTTTATATGATAACTTTATTATGGTATGTGTGAAAGTTAAAAATTTACTCACTAGAGGTACATTCTAGTTTCATAATTTTTCAATTAGCATTGATTGTAAATTTTCATTATTATTAGACCTTCATGCCAATGAAATAATCCGTCTTGAACAGCCAGTACCAGGAAGAGACATTTTTATATTTAAAGGAAGGAATTACGAAAACTATTAAACTTTAAATATCACTAAAGCATCACGTCTTTTACATTATTTACAAGTTTTATTATATTTTTATTTATAAGTAATTTATTTATTTTTAGCTTCAATACAAAAAATTTTAATGTTGAAGCACTGTGTTTTTGCATTTGATTTATCGATATATATTTTTGTTTTTTTGCTTTATTAAGTTTTTCCTCAAAGTTGCATCTTTTATTTGTAGATGTATTTATCATTTAATTATTTATTTATTGTTAACTTTTAAAGTTTTCTTATTGGCTCATGTAATTCTCTCGTACGTGTTTTTAAATTATAAATTTTATGACTTTTATGTTTTTTAAAGACACCTTTATTAATGTAAATATAAACATTTTACAAAGACATATCAAACATATGTCGTTTTGATATGAATACTTCGTGTGATTTCCTCGAATAACATTTTTAAAACCATATTTTCTATTTAATATTAAATGCAATACAAATTTTTTAAATGCTTATTCTAAAGCATATATTTCTTTTATTAAGCATTTAATTTTTCATATATATAGAAACTCAGTTATATTTTTTTAAAAGGATGAGAACTAATTTAACATTAGTTGTAATTAATAGTTTATTTTTGTGTGATTTACCAGGTTGTTCAATAAGTTCACGGAACGGAAATGAAGAAACCAATTTTTGTTTGTAAAAATCACTTTATTTTTCAACGTAGTTTCCCTCAACTTCAATACACTTATTCCAACAGTCTTCTAATTTATGGATCCCTTGACTGTAATGGTTTTTCGTCAGCTCTGCAAAATATCCCTCCACGGCAGCTATTACCTTCTCATTTGATGAAAATCGTTTTCTACGGAGATATTGTTTGAGGTGTGGGAAGAGTCAGAAGTCGGAGGGAGCTAAATCTGGCAAATAGGCTGGATGTTGCAACAATTCGTACTTCAATTCAGTTATTTTAGCAATGGTTTTTTGAGCTGTGTGCGCAGGTGCGTTATCTTGGTGGAAAATGATTTCCTTCTTCTGTAATCCGGGTCTTCTTTCACGAATTTTTTTCATCTAATTGATTCAAAAGGTTACAATAATAATCCGAATTAATTGTTTTGCCAGTTTGAAGGTAATCTATAAACAAAATTCCTTTCGCATCCCAAAAAACTGATGCTAACACCTTCTTGGCTGATTTTTGCACACGAACTCGCTTCGGCGCCGAAAGAGCCGGGTTCACACCACTCCTTAGCCTCCTGTTTTGATTCAGGATCATGATGGTAGACCCAAGTCTCATCCATTGTGATAAATCGATGGATAAAGTCGCTTTTATTCTTCTTAAAACGCTCCAAATGTTGCTGGCAAAGTCGCATCCGAATGTGTTTTTGCTCCATCGTTAGAGAATGCGGCACCCATTTTGCACAGTTTTTTTTTAAACCCAAATTAACACTCAAAATATTGCTCACTGTGCCCAATGAAATGCCTAAAGCCTCTGTTAAATCTCTTTCAGTCAATCGACGGTCTTCCAATACCATATCTTGTATTTTTCCGATGATTTCCGGTGTTGATGCAGTTTTTGGACTTCCCTCTCGCGGATCGTATTCAAGGCTGGTACAACCACTTTTGAATAAAATAGCTCACTTGCAAACCATTGTTTTTGAATGAGCATATTCACCAAACACATTCACCATTTCGGTATGAATTTCCATTGCCTTTAAACCTTTCTTTACAAAGAATTTGATAACTGCACGTTGCTCAATTTTATCCATACCTGAAAAAAGGCACAACACGTTAGATATAAAGGGCGGTTAAACAATGAATAAATTAACAGATCGAAATGAAACTTTTGACGTGTTCCTAAGAAAGAACAAATATGAAAATGGCATTCGAAGTTTTAGGTCTAATATTGACGAATAGATGGCACTCCGCAAAACTTATTGAACAACCTTGTATATATTTTCTTGATTAATATATTCGTGTATGTTTTTTCTATATAAAAAATTTGCCTTACGTATACATATATTAAACTCAGTTTATTTTTTGTTATATTCCTTTAAAAATGTATAAAGCAGAAAAAATTGTAAACTGTTGTAACAGGTGTAACTTTTTAGCGGGAAAGTGTAAAAAATGTGTGTCATTTTGGTTATTGTATAATTTATTATTTAATTATGTATCTTAATGGTTTTAAAAGTGTAAGATGAAAAATTGATAAAAATTTGAACATGTTTTTGTTTTAAATTTATTATGCTATACTTAAAAAATGTTTAGGGACTTACCAATTTGTAATAAGAAAAATTTTCCCTCTTGATTATATCAGTATTATTTGTATTTGCCATATTTTGCAAAATTTTAACTTCAGATTTTATTTGTTTTTTAAATTAAAACTTTTTTTATGACTTAAAATTAAAAAATTTGAAAACTTCATTGAAATCTAATACAAAATGTACATATTCAGTTAATTAGGTAAATAAATCATTGGTTATTCAGCAGGTAGTACTAAACCTGTTATTTAAAATTTTTTCCCCTTGACATTTGTTCCTAAAAATTCTTGTAGCTGAATGTATTTAAAATGGTGATTTGCATTTAACCGTATAGTCACACAACTATTTTTCAAAAAACTAAATAAATTTAGGGCTAATCCAATGCATCATCCTTTTTTTTATCATTAATGTTTTAATTCTTTTATCCCTTGAAATGACACTGAGAAACACATTATCAGATGTAAATAAGTGAATATATCTGACATTCATATAGATACAGTGCTTAGGACCTAAGGGTTACTATTAAACTTTTTAAAATAAAATCATCAACTTAGTGCCATTAAATGAAGGATGTATTTCAATTACATCTTTCACTATGCAAATCTTTTAAAAGTAATACACACACACATATATATATTGTTTTGATTCTGGATTTGGAGTAATTGATGATAACATTTAAATGAAGAATCAAAACACAATTTATTCATCAGTATAGGAGAGTTTCAGACACATTTACAGTCATCGAAAAACTATGATAAACACGCTGAAACAATCAGCAACACAGCCTTCAGGTTACAACGGTAACGACAGCTTCGTGGCAAAGAACTAAAATACAGCTTCCGACCTGGTTGATCGCTTTTAAGCTAATGTCTGAACTCTGCTACTGAACTCAAGATATTCCTTTCTCGAAGTACAGACAGAGTATATATAGCTCTAACATACCTTTGAGAATATTTCTGAGGTAAACTGCTAAGAATGCATTCTATATTGCCAAATAAGAGATTTTGTGCCAAACCCGCCCTTCCCTGCCACTTTCTGGCAACTTTAACCCTGCTTATCTTACGGCAGCTGGGCATTTTGCAACAATATGTTTTTCTATGCTAAAATGTCATACTGTAGGAAAAGACAGTTTCCATCAGTAAAATTAATTGAAAGCTTGCATAAAAAATTCAAAAGATAAGCTGTACTATAAACTATGTTATTTACTAACTGAGAATGAATGTAAAAAATATTTTGTATTTTATTAATAGACTGGTGGAAATAATTAAAGGAGTAAATATAAAAAATAATGTAACTTGAATGATTTGGAAGCTAAAAATGTGGCACCTGCAGAGGATCTTTTAATTTGTTATGCTTAACATATCTTCAAAATGCAGCATTATGTATCTCTGCAAAAAATAAAATATAATTACATAGAGAAATGTTGGTATTGCAAATTTTTAGAGATATGCAGAAAACATTTCAAAGGTGTGTGGTCACCTGTAACCGAAATGCAAGCTTTACAATTTTCTATGCTGCTTCAGGAGTTTCTGCATTAACAATGTGGCATGATGCTTTTGGCTACTTAGGTAAGTGTCTGTCCTGCTAACATCTCATAATCCTTCAAATGCTCTCAGTGACATGTTTATCTCCCACATGTGAAAAGTTTATCTAGCTACTCATACAATCCTTAAAATTAGAACTTGGATGTATCCACTTGCACCCCTTTTCACATGTGCTGAAAGAATGGGGCAAAAATTTGCATATTTCTGTGTAGCAAATTGTCTGTGTCCCACACGACTACATGCTAATTTTGACATTGTACCAACCCACTATCTTTCACTGAACATAAAAGCATCTTTTCATAGTTATTTCCTTGATTTTACAAGCTAGTATATAATTAAAGCACTATAATAACTATCTTTTTTCTGAGAGTTCTTTTTTATATTTTAATTATTCAACTACATTCTGTACTATACTGTATTTGAGATAATATTACACCTATGTATTTAACATGACGTGATGAGTTTTTTGCTCCTTTCGATGTCTCAAGCATTCAGATATCTAATATTTTCTTTACATTAAATGAAATGCTTTAGTGAAATAGATTACATTTCTCAGTTCTCATTATAATTTAGTTTTCAAATATTTAATTCACGTTCCACTACGTGTGAGATTTTGTACTTGTATATATACTATTTGTGTTAAATAATATGCTGTTATTCCTTTCAAGCATAATACTGACAGCTGATAAGTCATTAAAATATTAATATTCAGTACGGGAAGTAAACAAACAATAAAAGAGTTATGGTAAACAGTGGTGCTGAAAATCAAGTTCATTGTAGATAATTAGAATAGGAATTATATACAGTGAATTTGATAACATATATATTGAATTATGTTTGCTCCTGAAAACTGAAGGATCTACTATGTCTGATTGCCCATGAAATCAATAATGTTTTGTTTAAAATAAGGTTGCCGTTTTGCGTAATTTTCAGTTTTTACACAGGTGTGTTTCTCTTCTAAACTGGATACTAATGTAATGTAATTCTGTCAACTGAATTCATATTATTAAAAAAGGCCTAGTTTTCCAATTCACATAATCTGACAAATAAGTGTTTATTCACAATAATAAAAATACACATTTGAATATAAATTTTTAATAACTTTATTGTGGTGTAACTATGTATAATAGCAACTTCCTACATAAATAAACACAATTTCAACAATGTACAGTCAACGTTCTGCCATCTACAACTAATAAATTCACGTTAGTGTCTATGTGGCACACTAAAACAGTATTATACATATAAAATATAAACTTGTACTATCAAAACAGAGATTCT